GAGATCTCTGTTATTCTGTTTGAGAGCCATTTTCCTTTTTCTAAAATAAACAGCAAAGGGATAAGAAGCCTGTCTGAAGAATACCTGTTATGCAATGACATGTATGATATGTAAATGTTTTCAAGGATCTCGCGAGTTAAATAAGAAAATGTCAGAAGTTGAATTTTGCAGCTTTGATTGAAGAACTTTGTATCGTTGAAGGTCCTTCTACGAGAGTCAAGCTCACCATGTCGAGTGGGTCATTGCCTCTAACTCAAGTTATTGTGTTATGGTCCTTTTGACGGCATTGGCTAGAGGAAAATAAATCCCCTTGCCCCTTGCTAGACGTCTGGTTTATCATAACCTGCATCACGGACCCTTGAGACCCTTGAAATGGTTAAGGAGATGCTATGGTATGATGTTATGTTGTGTATGCTATGCATTAAACAACAACGTAAGGTGGCGTAAGCAAATAAATCCTGCAAGAAATCCAGGTTATTGGATATTGGATATAAACAAAACCGGCAAGGAATACTAGCAAAGCCCTGCAATGAGTTCAAGTTTGTTAGATAATGAAAGCAAGCAAGTCACACAAATAGCCTTAGGTCCATGCTTGCATGAGTTCCATAGGTAAGTACCCTCTTGAAGTTTAGTGGGCTTAACCTGTCTTATCAATAGTAACCAGGTTCTAGGGAATCTCAATATCACTGATTTTTCCCACAAGTTTCGTTCCGATCAACAACTGACTTACCACCAAACAAAACTCGGGAGTCAAATCTCAATGAGTGTAGTATCTATTTCAACCGACTTAGGACTACACCAAAGATGGTTATCTCACTACTTCCTAATGGCCAAGTCATTCAATTAAAGGTTCTAAGGTCAGTTGATGTTTCATGACACCACGCAGCGGCCCCGTATTCTCCTTGACTACTCAAGGGCTACCGGTACCAACCAAAGTGTCACATCAAAGTAGTTATCGCTTCAACCGTGTTGGTATACCCCTCAAAGCCCCCACGATCTATTTCTACTTACCTAAAAGGTGCCCCAGATCCAGGTGTAGGATCTATAGGAACAACCTAAACAAACCCTCCAAGGATAAAGCATATAAAGCAAGCAATTAAAACAGTTCTAAAATAAACTAACTCTAAGGTAACCTCACTTTTTATAATTATCCCCAGCAGATTCTCCAGTTCTGTGATAGGGTGGCAGAACCGACTGTTAATACTGGTTTTGTGTTTGTGTTTACAAATGATGCGGTAAGCAAGATTCGCCACCGACTTTTCTTTTATCCAAATTAAGGAAAGGGTGAAAAGAATAGAAAAATACCTTTTCAATAATTTTCTGAGTAAGGGGGGTAGATTATAGAAAGGGAACGTGTTAGCACCCTTTCCATTCGTAGTTATCTACGAGCTCTTAGTTGCTTGCTAGATAACTTGCTTTTGTTTGAAAATGTGCTTGTGGTGTGGGTTTGGAAGTATTTTGAAAATGTCTTTGTAATGATTCTTATCTCTATAAGACTGCGTACAAAGTGTTGCTTTTGAAAATAGTTCAAAGAGATGTTTGTGGAAGATGTTTTTTGAAAGTGATTTTGAAAAAGTTCCCTTGTAATGATTCTCGTCTCTATAAGAATGCGTACAAAGAGCTTTGTCTTTTGAAAATGTTTCAATTGAAAGTGTTGGTGTAGAAAAATGTTTTTTTATTGTGAGCAAGAGAGCAACTATGAGCATCCTACCTACTTAAAAGGTCTAACGTTCTTTTCCTCCTCCTTTAGATGTTTCTATCTTACCATTGATTTGGTAAGAAGTCTCATCGTTGGATGTGTGAGGGAAAATTGAAGGGACGTTACGGTCAAGAAGGCAACTTGGCAAGGAATTTTAGTAACTGCCCTAAAGTTCTAAGATCACTTTTAACCGAGGCAACATCGAGAGGGTCATCAAATTTAAGGTCCCTACTTTTGCGAAGTATGACAATGTTTCTTGTCCTAAGATTCATTTAAGATCTTATGTCCTGAAGATTCAACCCCACACTACTGATAGGAAGTTATGGGTACATTTCTTTCAAGAAAGCTTGTCAGGAACACAATTGGAATGGTTCTATCAACTGGAAGGAACCAATATCCATACTTGGGAAGACTTAGCTGCTGCTTTTTACAAAAAATACTAGTACAATGCTGATCTTGCACCAACTCGCGTGCAATTACAAAGTATGACTATGGGCTCGAACAAAGGCTTCAAAGGGTATGCCCAAAAAAGGAGGGATCTAGCTGGAAGAGTTCAACCTCCTTTGTCTGATAGGGAGTTGGTTGGCATGTTTATGGGAACTTTGACAGGTCCTTTCTTTAATCATCTGATCGAAAGCTCTTTAGCCGGATTCATCGAGCTGATATTAACAGGGGAACATGTAGAAGGTGGAATCAGAAGTGGAAAAATTTAGGTGGTTGCATCTTCGAGTATTGTAAAAAAATACATTCAACGGAAAAAAAGAAGATAATGTTGTGTATGGCCAGAAGGGTCGTGGTATAAGTAACCGCAACCAATCTGTGGGGGCAGTTCTAATTTGTAATCCTACGCCAGTGCAACAACATCAACAAGGTAATCACCGTAGGTCAGACGCACCTAGGAGACAATTTACTAAGATAAACATGCCATTTTCTCCAGCATTACAACATCTATTGAAGGCAGAGTTGATAACGTTAAGAGATCAGCCTCAGAATCCCAACACTTCCTCCCCCAAGTACAATCCTAATGTAAGATGCACCTATCATTCCAATAGTCCAGGACACGACACAAATAGTTATTGGGCTTTGAAAAATAAAATTCAAGATATGATTGACAATAAAGAGATTGGATTTGATCCTCCCGAGACCCCCAATGTGATTACCACTCCTATGCCTAAGCACGACAAAGCATTAGTGCTATTGATGATGTTTTGTATGTTTTAATTATAAGTGGCTTGACTACTCCACTCCTGATTATTAAGAAGAATCTATTGCAATCCGGTTTATTTTCGGGTTGCATTGAAAGATGCTACTGCTGCGAGCCCAACCAAATGGTTGTAAACTGCTAAAAGAAGGTATTCAGCGTCTCATGGATAACCACATAATTCTAGTTGAGAAGACTCTTTCTGTTGAGATTTCATCTCAATACTTAGATATTGAAGAGGTATCTATAATTTAGTATAGTTGGAGGAGTTGTATCTTGAAAATCAAATAAATAGACTATCTTGGCTCAATTCACGATTGAGTCTGAGATGATAACATTAGGGACTGTTGTGTTGATCCACTGTGATAGTACTGCAGCTAGTACAAAAAATAAGAATTGTTATTATAATGGTAAAAGTTGTCAAATATGAAGAAAGCACAACACTGATAGAGATTGTATCTCTAAAGTAGTTATAAGAATGGATCATGTGCAAACTGATGAAAATTTAGCAGATCCTTCGATGAAAAGATTAGCTAGAGAGAAAATCCATAATACATAAAAAAGGATGGGACTAATTCCTATATAGAAATGAGTTGCTCATGATGGTAACCCGACCTAAATAACTGAAGTCCCCAAGAAATATGTTCAATGGATAATAACAAGTTGTGAGTAATATGAGATTATCATGCGAGTATAAATAAGTAAAGCATGAATCCTGAAGCAATAAGAGGATGAGATAATTGAAACTTTTAATGAGATCTATACTCTATATGAGTGAGTACCTAGATACAAGAGTACTCTTGATAGACCCACCTATGTGATTGTGGAACTTAAACCGACTCCTATAGAATTTCGAGGTAGAACTCCTAGAGCCTTCACTAAACTGAGATACACATGCAGGGCCATTAAAGCATGAACTATTATACTACACCTTGTGAAAAGGTTGTGTGCGAGTTTGATGTATGAGATATAGTTCAAGACAATAATGTCACTCATGTTGAATCGAAATTCTACTTGCTACGCAAAGGTACAAGTCATAAACACCTTTGTTTATTCATAATCTTATAAACATTTGACGTTACTTCTTAAACACTTTTTTACATTCAAGTAGAGGATTGTTGGAACATTATGTCAATATTCCAATACGGGGAGATGAATTTGAAAAAGTTCCTTAAGTCAAGTCTCCCATTGTGTGTTAGTTGAAAAAACTCCTCAGTCCCATATTATTTAGGTGAGATATCTTAGCTAGCTCACTTCATTATATAAGAAAATTCCTTGTTTCATTCCAAAACACACCAAAAAACTCTATTATTGAGTTTTTTCTTCCTCAATCTCATAACTCCGCGTTCGAATTGTTGAAACGCCAACTTCTTCGTATTTCTTTCTACTCGATGAATTTTCAGAGTATTTTCTTGAATCCTCTTTAGAGAATTGTGTTAATCTCTCCTCGTTTGAGTTGAGAAATTATACGTGTTAATTTTTGGATTCTCTTTAGAGAATTATTTGAATTTCACTTGTTTGAAAAATTATTTTTGAGTGGTCAAATGACTATTATAGAATTCTTTTTAGAGAATAATTTAAATTTCGCATAGAAAGTATTACCAATGATCTATATACTAGATACTATGATGATTTTTATACCATATTCAAGTAGTCTTTGTGTCATCAGAATTATATTAGTAACTTTTTTTAGTAAATCATAAAATGTAGGAATTATATTAGTAAATTGTATAATTAAGATGCTAATTTGTTAAAAAGAGAGATAAAATTAACACAATTACCAAATAGTTTGACGCTAGTCAAAAACAAAAGTTTTTTATCTATAAAGAAAATATAAATGAATGACTTCTACAACTAAAAAGTGTTAATAGTAAGTCACTCTAACTAGTTACTTTCTTGGAAGGAACTATGTGGTGGCCAAGATTTACGCGTGTGGCAACAAATTATTGACTTAGGTTGACCTGGCACTATATAATTGTTGCATAACCTCATCTTCATCTCATCAAATACTCTTTCTCTACCTCAACTACACTTGCTCTTCCTTTCAATTTTAACCAACAATTTTTATTATATGGTTATTATAATTAAGCTTCACTAAAAATGATGGTAAGAACTACATCATATATGCATGGCTAGTTTTTTTTTTTTTTTACTACTAATTATTCTTAACATTTTTTTTGGTTTGTTTTGTTACAGAAAGTAGTGTTGAAGGTGGAAATATATGATGACAGAACGAAGCAAAAAGCCATGAAGACAGTATCTGGCATTTCAGGGGTAGAATCAGTTTCTGTGGACATGAAAGACAAGAAATTAACCTTAACTGGAGACATTGATTCAATACATGTAGTGAGCAAATTAAGGAAGTGGTGTCATACTGATATAATCTCTGTTGGTCCTGCCAAAGAGGACAAGAAGAAGGAAGAACCTAAGCCCGATGTGAAGAAGGATCAAATTCAATTAATTGAAACTTATCCCCATTATTTTCAGATGCCACAACCACAACCACATTTCATTCAATACTCCTCTGTTGCAAGATTTGAACAGGATCCTATTGGATGTGTCATATGTTGATTTTCAATTTACTAAGAAAGAGAGAGAGAGATGTTGTTTTTTCTTTTTGTTTTAAGGATTTTTTCCTCAGATTATTAGTGATAACCGTGTAACATGTTAGAATAAAATGGAAGTTTAACAGAGTAAAGCTTTCATAATTTTAGATTTAGATTCAAACTGTGAGAAATGGAAACAATAGCAAGTTTATTATTTTCATAAGTACATCACAATTCGAAATAAAATACATGTTTATGCTGGCAAGGTTGGAGAAGGCATGAACAATAACGAGTCAATGTTCCACGATCATAAAAGAGGAAAATGTCACATCTCTATAAAAAATTATAAGACATTAGATATATGAGTAATTTCTCTTATAAATTCAATATCAAATTCGTTCATATGCAATCTAAAATGTAACCACTCATACTTGAATTTGAAAATTCCACTAACAAGTGTGAGATCTCACCACTTCTAATAATAGGTTTCAATGCAGATGTTGATTAGTATGCAGACATTGATTAGTGTTTATGCAAAGTAGGCTGAGAGATTATGTCGATAGATGATGAGTTTCCTACTCACATAGAATTTCCATAAAAAGTTTTCAATTTGATTTTCGTCATATGGAAATTTTTAGTGGTTTAACTTCAAGTGAAGTATGATAAGTCTTTTGGAACTATTATTGTTGTTGAAGACAATATGAAAATTTTCGAAGTGATTTAACTTCAAGTAAAATATATTCTTCTTTTAATGGAGGATGATAGTTCTTTTGAGTTTGTTTTGATATGAAACTCAAGTTCACAATCCATGACAGAGAACATTCAAATTTGATATTAATGTCGAACGAAATCTCATAACGAAATCCACTAATGACAGGTAATGGATTCTATGATCCAATGATGATGAAGTTCGGTAGTTATTGATAATGGATGCTTTGGTCCGACGATGGAAGTGGTACCTACAAACACTTTGATATGTAAGTTAATAGCTATTAGAGGTAGAGGCATTTTTAGGGTTGGAAAAGGTGTATCTAAATTTGAAGATTATGTGTTGCTTTTATAGTGAGGTATTGAGGTTCTCAAGTGTGAACATATGTGCTATGCAGATTTAACTATCCGTTGGTTTTGACGATTACAATTGTCAAAAAAATTTTAGATACATTTTGGATGTTGTAACATTTTTCAAGATTTCTCTGTGACACAACTGTTGGAAATCAAAGGATTAATGTGGAATTGGAAGGAGTCAGTGACATGAAGTTGGCAATAAATGAGCACAAGTACGAGTTACTGTGTATGAAGGTGAATTTGAAAAAGTTCATTAAAGTCTCACATAAGAGGGAGATCACACTTTAGTAGTGTTTATATATTCTAAGTTAGCCAATTGGGTTGGGCCCTAAGGAGTACCCAATTTTTTTGTTGGGTGAGAACACACTACCATGAGCCATTAAATATGTGTGCCCGATGTCGTTGTCGTTTGGCCGGTTCGGCTCTGTCTTAGGGTTGGGTTTTGATACAATATTTTTCGAATAACCGAAATGATGGAAATGTTAATTAAAAGTTCATTAATTAATTATTGAATGATGGAAATTAATCAATATTAATTAAATATTATTAAGTAATTTATGGTGTGCATTCATTAACCTAACCCTAAAGTTTGACAGAACTTTTTCCTTCCCTTCTAAGATTTAGTGTCTGACTTGTTGACCAAGTTTTCAACGGCTAGTTATGGGACATATCTGATCCACTACCCCGCGATTTTCTCTAATTCTGATCAGATTCTCACCTATAAATAGAGACCTTCTCATCTCATATTTTTCACTCCAAATTTACGAATATAAAATCTCTCTCTCTCTCTCTCTCTCTCTCTCTCTCTCTCTCTCTCTCTCTCTCTCTCTCTCTCTCTCTCGTCTCGTCTCTGCTTTATTTTAAATTTTCTTTTCTGTTTTCAAGTGGCTTGTCTAAGCCAACAACAACTATTTCTTTTCCAGAAACTACGAGTGGTTTAACACCATCATCGACTTCTCTTTGTGCCATCTGAGGGTGTAATTCTAGATTGAATATCTACCGTATAAGTAGTAATCATACAGTATAACTGGAATGTTTTATTCTAGTGGCATCGTGGTAGTTTGACTATTTTGTATAATTTTAGGCAATGTCGTGAAACGTTTAAAGAGAATGGCCTAGTCTGCAATTTGATCCGATAATTTCTTTTGTGGCTGGTTTTTTCAAAAATGTAAAACAACATTTTTAAGACGTTTCTAAAACTGTCATGGCTACAGAAGAAATTATTGATAATTCTGCAACAATTGTGTCTAACAAACCGTTCAAGTTTGAGGGGAGTCATTTCAAATGTTGGCAATAGAAGGTGCACTTTTTCTTAACCCTGAAAAAGGTTGTCAACCTTTTGACTAGAGACATTTTTGTTGCTCTTTATAGATTAACCAAATAAACTAATAGAAAGAAATTTGTGGATTCAGAAGGAATTGGTAATTCCACTGAAACTGAATATGTTGTACAGATTAAAGCAAACAATTTACAATTTAAGAAAGAAATCTCAGTGTGGAAACAAAATGATTATTTCTGCAAAAATAACATTCTAAACGACCTTGTTGATGATCTTTATGATTATTAATGTAAATGCAATACCGCAAAACAAGTTTGGGAAACTCTGAAATAGAAATATGATACTGAAGAAGCTGGAACAAAGAAGTAAGTTCTTAGTCGCTACCAGAAGTATCAGATGGTAGATGAAAGATCCGTGGAATCTCAATTCTACAAAATTTAGAAAATTTCTCATGAAATCATAAGTGAAGGTATGCCCCTAGATGAACAATTTCAAATTGCTGTTATCATTGACAAATTGCCCTCTGGCTGGAAAGATTTTAAAAACATGCTTTGCCATAAAAAAAGAATTTTCAATTGAGAGTTTGATTAGTCACCTCCAAATTGAAGAAGAATCTCACAGACAAGATCAGAAAGATGACGTCTTTGTTGTTTTTAACAACAAAAAGAAATTCAGTGTGGTTCTGAAGCCAACAGGTAAACCACTTAAGAATCAGAACCACAATGATGTGAGCCTAATTAAGAACCCTTACAGGGCCCTGAATGCTCCAATTTCTAGGCAAAGTCCACCACCTCAAAGAAATGACACTCCTTTTTTCACTTGCTTTAATTATGTAACACTGGGTCATATGGCTGAGAGATGTAAGAGCATGCCTAAACCTGTTGTTGGCTCTAATGCATAAGTTAATCTAACTGATGAGAAATTCAATGTTATGATCACTGAAATGAACATGGTTAGTGGATAGACATTGAAACCTCTCCTCATGTCTGCTATGATCGTGATATGTTCAAAACATATACGAATGTTGAAGATGAGAAAATGTTGTTGGGAGATGCTCACACCACTAATATTGTTGGAATTGGAGAATTGGAGTTGAATTTCATATATGGAAAGACTTTGATCTTGAAGGATGTCATGCATGTTCCTAAAATTAGGAAGAATCTAATTTTTGGTTTTCTTTTAAATAAGGCAACATTTAGTCAGTCTATTGGGGCAAATTTGTACACCAACACTAAGAATGGTATTTTTATTGGGAAATGGTACACTCTTGATGGTATGTTTAAGTTGAATGTTAATTTGAATAAAATTTATCCTTCTATTTACTCTTTGTGTGATTTTAATATTTGACATGCTAGATTTTGTCATGTTAATAAGTGCATTATCTCTAATTTAATCAACTTATGCTTAATTAAAAAATTAAATGTCAATGATTTAGAAAAATGTGAATATTATAGTCAAGCTAAAATAACTAAGATTTCAAATAAATTAGTAATTAAAAAATCGGATCGCCTAGATCTTATACACTCTAATATATGTGAAATGGATGGAACTTTAACTATAAATAGTAAGCGTTATTGCATCACTTTTATCGATGATTTTTCTGATTATACTTATGTATACCTATTGATTAATAAAAGTGAAGCGTTTGACATGTTTAAAATTTTATGTGAATGAAATTGAAAATCACTTTAGTAAAAATATTAAGAGATTTCTAGTGATAGGGGACCTCAATATGATTGTGGTTTATTTGAATTTTATAATCAATATAGAATTGTAAATGAAACAAATGCACCATACTCTCTTGAAATTAGTGGTAAAGTAGAAATAAATAATAAAATTCTTACTGAATTTGTTGTTGCAGTTATGTTAAATTTTAGTGCCGCTCCTCACTGGTGGGGAAAATTTTGTTGATTGTTTGATATGTCTTGAATAGAGTTCCCAAATATAAAAATAAGATCTATCCTTATGATATATTGAATAAAGGACAACCAAATTTGTCTTACTTTAGAACTTGGTGATGTCTGGCTTTTGTCAAAATTCCATATATGAAGCGAGTTAAAATTGCTAGTAGAGCCTAAGAATGTTTATTCAATGGGTATGCAGCAAAAAGTAAGACATATAGGTTTTATGAAATAAATGTTAAAGTGATCAAAGAATCAAATGATGTCGTATTATATAAAGAAAATTTTCCTTTAAAATCGAGAAATTGTGGGGGCACTGAATCAAATCACATTCTTGTGATAAGAAGCACTTAAAGCAATGACGAAGTAGAAACAGAACTTTGATGAAGTAAAAAATTAAGAGTTACTAAATACTATATGCTCGATTATTCCGCCTATATAATAGAAGAAGATCCAAAAAATCTTCAAGAAGCATTGTCATCTTTGTATGCAGATTTATGGCAAGAAGCTATTAATAATGAGATAGATTCTCTAGATTCCAACAGGACCTAACACTTTGTAGACTTGCCTCATTGTTGCAAATCAGATGAAAATGGATTTTTTTTTTAAAAACAAAAACCTGATAGAACAATTTATAAGCACAAGGCTCGCCTTTAACCAAAGGTTTTAGGTAATACTTTTTCTTCAATACTTTATCTCCAGTCACTAGAATTACTTTCATTAGGGTAGTTATTTCAATTGCTCTTATGTATAACTTAATAGTACACCTAATGGATGTTA